TGTACCCTCTGCTGAGATCAGACTCCTTTCTCATCTGTCTCTGTACAGAGCTCAGGAATGTGAGGATTCCACTGACGAGGGAAAGGCATGTCGGTGCCCTTATCTGAGACAGCTATTATTGTCTAGATGTCAGCATGTGTTTTTCCAACCAAATGATCTCAGCTGACAGCTTACATTCCATCCACTTCCCATCGTTACTGCGAATGAATGGAGCTGCTGTACTCAGCCCAGCCCTGGTTCATATTCTGCTGTTTGTCCTTTAGGGCCCACCTTCTTCTCTCAGTAATTCAGGAGTGTGTCTATCCTGGGAACTTGTGTAAAAACAAAAAGAACCCCCAAAGAACTGCGGTTGCTGGAAATCCAAACTGGAGAAACTCAGCATCTGCGGGGAGAGAAAGCACAGTTAATGTTTCAGAGTCTGGAGACCCTTTATCAGAACTTCTGCTTTCTCTCCACTGCTGAGTTTCTTCTGCAATACCTGTGAGCTTCGCTTACTCACTGTACCTTCCTGGCTGAAAGCTCATAGGAAGCAACAACTTGCACAGTACAGGGTGGAATTACATGTTTTCCAGTCCCTATCCCCACCACCCAAATGCATTGTCTTTTAAACTGGCTAACAGCATACCAACCAGCAACCCTACTGTCTTCCCCACCCTATTAAATCATTGGTGAGAAGGCTCATAGAATTCATACAGTATGGAAGTAGGCCATTCAGCCCATACTGACCCTCCAGTGAGTATCCCACCCAGCTGCATCCCTTATCCTTGCATTTCCCCACCCTAGAAACTGTGGGCAATTTAGTACGGCCAATCCACCTAACCTGCACATCTTTGGACCATGGGAGGAAAACCGGAGCACCCAGAGGGTACCCACGCAGACAGTCACCCAAGGGTGGGATCGAACCCAGGTCCCTGGTGCTGCGAGGAAGGAGTGCTAACCCTTGAGCCACCATGCCACCCCATGAACTGCCTTCCTATTTTGGCACTAACTGAGCTGCCCTATAGGGGCAACAACTGCCCATTAAAGGGGCTTCATCCCAACAACACTGGCATGAGGGAGGTGAAAGGGTGGGCTCCTCAGACGGGATACATGCCAGTTAAACTGTGCCATGTTAGTTGTATGCCCCTCATTCAAAAGGGGCTCTGTTCCTGGTTGACACCACCCCCAAGACCTTGCTTAAGGACCCTCCCTCTTACCCCTCCATACTTGAGTTCTCAGTGGGTGGGACTTCAATGTTGGGGGCCTTGATCCCAGGGAAAACCTACTGCTGGCCTGTCAAGGGACAGAGTGGCACACAATGTTGTCAGGCCTTCCTGAACAGGAGGCTACACACAGGGACTGCAGAGCCCAGGCTTCACCCACAGTCTCATCAGACAGAAGTAGAATCATAGAATCCATACAGGGCAGAAAGAGGCCATTCAGCCCATCAAGACCACACTGACCCTCTGAAGAGCATCCCACCCTACCCATGTAACCTTGCATTTCCCATGGCTAATCCACCTAGCCTCCAAACCCCTGGGCACTATGGGCAACTTAAGCATGGCTAATCCACTGAACCTGCATATCTTTGGAGGAAACTGAAGGAAGCCCACAGAGACATAGGGAGAATGGTGTAAACTCCACACAGACAGCCACCTGAAGCTGGAATCAAACCTGACTCCCTGGGCACTGTGAGGCAGAAGCGCTAACCACTGAGACACCCAAGGTACTTCACAGAAAAATAAAATCAGACAGTTTTTGAACACATAAGGAAATTTTAGAATAGGTGACAGACGTGTTATAAAAATGATCTCAAAGGAGCAGGAAGACGCAGAGAGGTTTAGGGAGGGAAAGTCCAGCCTCAGGGTCTCCATAGCTGAATACTCTGCCACTGGTCATGCAAGAATAGACAGAATTGGAGAAACACATTCAGATTTTCCAATCTTTCTAAATTTTTCAGTCACCTCCAAATGTCGGAGAATTTACTTGTTTCTAGGATCCGAGTCCATGACAGAACATAGAGTCACAGAGCTGTACAGCACAGAAACAGACCCTTCAGTCCATGCCAACCAGATATTCTAAATTAATCTAGTCCCATTTGCCAGCATTTGGCCCATGTCCTTCTAAACTTTTCCTTTTCATGTACCCATCCTGATGCCTTTTAAATGTTGCAATTGTACCAGCCTCCACCACTTCCTCTGGCAGCTCATTCCACACACCTATCACCCTCTGCATGAAAAAGTTGCCCCTCAGGTCTCTTTTAAATCTTTGCCCTCTCACCTTAAACCTCTAGTTTTGGACTCCCCACCACGGGGGGAAAAGACCTTGGCTATTCACCGCATCCATGCCCCTCATGATTTTATAAACCTTTATAAGGTCACCCCTCAGCCTCTGATGCTCCAGGGAAAATAGCCCCAGTCTATTCAGCCTCTCCCTAAAGCTCAAACCCTCCAACTCTGATCTAAATGTTTTCATGGGTTCAAGATGAGTGGGCAGAGAATGATATATCTTTTATGATTAATATTAATTTCCTACTTGAAAAACCACAGTGCCTCCACTTTAATCTTTCACAACACAGAGTCAGCACGGGGTTAGATACACAGTAAAGCCTCCTCTACTCTTTTAAACTGCAAGGAAAGACATCTTTACACTGTCCCCTTCAAACACCCCAGGACAGGGTCAGCACAGGGTTAGGTACACAGTAAAGCTTTCTCTGCGCTGTCCCCATCAAACATTCCCAGGACAGAGACAGTATGGAGTTATATACAGAGTAAAGCTTCTCTGCTCTTTTAAACTGAAAGTAAATCTCTCTCTACACTGTCCACCATCCAACACACCCAGTACAGGTACAGCATGGTGCTAGATACAGAGTAAAGCTTCCTTTACACTGTCCCCATCAAACATTCCCAGCACAGTTACAGCGTGGTGCTAGATACAGACTAAAGCTTCCTTTACACTGTCCCCATCAAACATTCCCAGGACAGGGTCAGCATGGGTTTAGATACAGAGTAAAGCCTCCCTTACTTTTTTAAATTGCAAGTGAAGCTCCCTCTACACTGTCCCCATCTAACACTCCCAAGAAGACTACAGCACAGAGTTAGACTGAGAGTAAAGCTTCCTCAACACTGTCCCCATCTAACACTCCCAAGAAGACTACAGCACAGAGTTAGACTGAGAGTAAAGCTCCCTCAACACTGTCCCCATCAATTACTCCCAGGACAGGACAGCACGGGGTTAGATACAGAGTAAAGCTCTCTCTACACTGTCCCCATCAAATACGCCCAGGACAGGGCAGCACGGAGTTAGGTGCTGAGTAAAGCTTCCTCTACACCTGCTCCTCTGCTTGCCAGCATCCATGTGCCTCAAGTTCTCTTTATCTCCAGATGAGAAAAAAAATGAAGGTTTCCTGTCCTCGATGTGCAGACTAGAAGTCTGTTCTCTCAGACACGCTTTCCATTAGCGTACATTTCTAGTCTCTGCGTCTCAAAGAGGGTCTTCTGTTTCACAGCCAGTCAGGATGTAACAGCAACTCCACCTCCCTTTCCCAGTCACACAATCTGCAAACTCAGCTGTTTGTCTTGCCCCAGGTCCAAAAACAGTCACAGTTTTCTCCTCTCTTCTCTTGCCTTGCACTCTCACGGACTCTGTTAGCTTGATCACTCTGAGGCTGAGCAATAACGAAGCCTGAATGAACACAGGCATATTGTGGGCATCAAGACTGGAAAATGGCAAAGAAAGGGCAAGTTCATCAAGAAATTATACCATGAAAATCTTGGGCTCAAACAGTCCTACCAGCTGCTGATATTAGATTTGCAGAATGTTACTGTAGAAAATAGTGTGCCGAATTTAAATAAACCTGCTAATCTAGCAAGGGGCTGTGACGGCCTCGTGGTATTATCACTGGACTTTTTTTTGTTAATCCAAAGACTCCAGGACATGTTCTGGGGACTGGGTTCAAATCCTGCCACAGCAGATCCTGGAGTTTGAATTCAATCTTTTTTTAAAACAATCTGGAATTAAGAGTCTAATGATGATCATGAATCCATTGTTGCTTGTTGGGGAAAAACTCATCTGATTCAGTAATGACTTTTAGGGAAGGAAACTTCCATCCTTACCCAGTCTGGCGTACACGTGACTCCAGACCCACAGCAATTTGGTTCATTCCTAACTGAGCTCTGTGCAATAAATGCTGCTTCATCCAATGAATAAATGGGGAAAAACGGTTGAGTGTTTTAGGTTAATGGCTGCATTTTTCCATGTCCTCTGTTGAAGTCTACCAACGCAGCTCTTAACTCAGAACAGTCGCAGAGCTTCCTCAGCTTTCAGGCCTGAAATTTAAAATACTCACGTTGGATTTCAATTCCTTGGCCTCACCCCTCCATAGCATCATTGCCTAACATTGCAAATTACAAATACATTCAAAACATTGCTACACACGGTGATCAAAGTAAATCAGCCCCTCGTGTTTGGTGAACTAGCGCTCAAAATTACATGACAGCTGTCATTTCACCTCCCCTCTTTCACTGTGCTCTTTGTGAGCTATAACAACTTGCATTTCTATAGAAGCTTTCATGGGCTGCCAGCATCCACTGGTGCTGCAGAGGAGCGATTGTCAGATAAAATCAGAAATGCAGTTAACTGGGTGAAAAACAGCTCGGTCATAGGACAGTATGCAGGAAGAAACTTTCCCCTTAATGAAGGAATCTATGAGCGGAGGCATGGATTTAAGGTAGGGACAGGAGGTTTACAGGGGTGGTGAAGAAACATTTTATCACCCAGAGGCTGGTGGGAATTTGGAACTCTCTGCCTGTAAAGATGGTACAGGCAGAAACTCTTATAAGATCTCAGAAGTATTTAGATGTACACTTGCTATGCCAAGGCATACAAGGCTATGGGCCAAGTGCTAGAAAATTGGATTAGTATAGTTAGGTGGTTGTTCTTGACCAGTGCAGATCAATGGGCTGAAGGGCCTTTTACCGTGCTGTAGACCCCAGTGCCTCTATGACTGAAGTTAATCAGAGTTAACAGCAAGTCAGTCCCATTGGGATATTAACCCCCCACATGGCCACCAGCAGACAATAATCAGCAAAGTTCTGCCACCAGATTCCTGGGAATCTCATATTGCCGCGTTCACCACATTCGGTCTCAGTTGACCAGCTCCAGAAACAGGAAGGGACACATAACTGCCTGGGATAAGAGGCAGACAGCAGCAGGAAGATCTGAAGCAAGCCTACCTTAAGCTCAGCAAAAGTCTCTTTGTGTTCCAATCCAGGCAGTCGCTTCTCTGAACAGACAACCCCAACGTCCTCACTGTGCTTGCAATCATTAACACCCCAGCCGTTAGACTCACACGCAGCAATGGACCCTTCGTCACCTTTGCATTTCACATTGTCCAACCAGATGGGACCTAGACAGAAGAATTACAGCAATTACAGCTAAGTGCATTGATGGAGAGGGATATGGGATCCCGAGTTTCACAAACAGTGGCAGACAATAAAGACAAACTTGCATTAAACTCTGGTTCAGACTCAACTGGAGCATTGTATCGAATTCTGGGCCCCACACTTGAGGAAGGATTTGAAAGCTTTAGAGAGACTGCAGATCAGATTTGCAAGAATGAGATGGATATATTGATGATGCTGGGTCTGTTCTGTTTTTTTAATAAATCTTCACTCAGAAAATGTGGATGTTGCTGGTTTGGTCAGCATTTCTTGCCTATCTCTAACTTGCCGGAGGCAATTACAGCCAACCGCATCACTGTGCGTCTGAGCCCAAAAACAGTGCCAGACCAGGTATTGCTAATAGATTTTCTTCCCTATAATAAACAATCAACATCTGGTCAATGGTCACCATTAAGCCACCTCTTTGTTCTATGTTTCATTGAATTCAAATTTTATCATCATGGATTTATTAAAAATCTGTTGCTCATCCCAGAGGGCAGTTAAGAGTCAACCACATTGCTGTGGGTCACATGTAGACCAGAACAGGTAAGGATGGCAGATTCCTTCCCTAAAGGATGTTAGTGAACCAGATCAGGTTTTTCCCCTGACAATAGACAATGGTTTCATGGTGACCAATAAATTCCTAATTCCAGATTTTCATTGAACTCAAATTCCACCATCCGCCATGGTGGGATTTGAACCCTGGATCTCCGGATTAACAGTCCAGCAATAATACCACTAGGTATTCAAACCCACATCCCCAGAACATTAGCCTGGGGTGCTGGGCTATCAGTCCAGCAACATTACCACTCCATCAGCTCCCCTTACAGCTGAGAACGTTAAAGGAAGATTTGTTGGGGGTTTCCAAAATCATGTGCGATCTAAACACAGTTGCCAGGAAGAAACCGTGATGAAACAGCAAACATCAATTTAAAGTGAGTGATGAAGAAGAGCTAGAGGGGACATGAGGCAGCGGCTGGGTCTGAATGGCAATGGGTAAGGGAAGCAGATTTAACTGAAACCTTCAAACGGTAATTGGATAACCGACAGGGAAATGGAAACAGCTAAATTCCTCTTGGAACTGTCAGGCTTGACAGGCCAACTGGTTCTTTCTGTCCTCTATTTTTTAAATTCTACTTTGTAAACATGGATGGGGTGGCATGATGGCTCAGTGTCAGTACTACTGTCTCACAGTGTCAGGGACCCAGGTTCAATTCCAGCCTTAGGCAACCATCTGCGTGGAGTTTGCACATTCTCCCTGTGTCTGCGTGGGTTTCCTCCCACAGTCCAAAGGGGTGCAGGCGAGGGTGGATTGGCCATGCTGTAGTGCCCAGGGTGTGCGGGTTAGGTGGGTTAGCCATGGAAAATGCAGGGATAGGGTAGTGGCGTGCTCTCTAGACAGTCGGTGTGGACTCATTGGGTTCATTGGGCTGAATGGCCTGCTTCCACGCTGGAGAGGTTTTATGATACTATTATTCTAGCTCTAAGATAGTTCCGATCTCACCATGAGGTACAATGCCCCCAACTTACATTCAAAAAGGTGTACGCCTGTGAGTAACAGGCTGCCTCTTGGTTTATGATTTTTGTCAATTATATTGATAGGGACAAGCAGCCTGGGGTTGAAAGGTCAAATCGCTCATGTGGGGCCTCTTAAAAAGATAAGTCCCGAGGGAGAGTGGTCAAAGAAAATCTGGCACATTAGGCGATCTCAGAACAAGTGATCAAGGGTTTAGCGAAAGTGGTAGAGTTTTATTAGTGTCTTAAGAAGGGTTGCTGCTGTGAGACTGTTTGTCCTAGCTGCTGGTGGATTCTAGAACATGGGGAGACACCCTCGTGTGTTTTAGAGGCTGGGGATCTTAGATTAAGGTGAAGAAACATTTCTTCCCTCAGAGGGTTGTGAATCTTATTCTCTAGCCAGAGATAGTCAAATAATGAGTATATCCTAGACTTAAATCTATTGATTTTTTTTGTCATTATGGGCACCAAGGGACACGGCACTAGGCAGGAAAGTTAATCGCGATCTAATTGAGTATGCCCAAAGGACTGAGTGGCCTACTGTCTGTGATTTAAATTCTGTTTTTCATATTGTCAAGATGGAGTGAGATAAGATGTTACCTTTGCCTTGTCCATACTTTGCACTGTGAGCCCAGGTCAGTGCTCCCTCATAGCCCAGCTCTTGGCAGATCACTGTGGCAGCGTTGAGGGTGAAGTCATCGTCACACACCGTGCCCCACTGGCCATTGTAGAAAACCTCCACACGACCTTCATGGTGCGTCCGCTTCAATCCTGCCAAGCGGATCATGACTTCCTTCTGCTCTGGTGCCTGCCCTGAGGCAGCCCTGGCATTGCCGAGGGTCAACAGGCTGCAGAGGAGAAGTACTGGGCAAAGGAGGAGGCCTTGTGGAGCACCCTTCATCACGACTTTGTCAACTGGGGCTCAGGCGAACACTTTAAAGCACAAGGGTTGTCCACCTGTAACAGCAACACAGATTAAAACATGGAAACAATGGGACTCCAGATTAGTACATATTATATATCCAGACAAAGGCATAATCCAATTTCCTCTTCTTTTTATTAACATTACAAACAAACTCAACAATATTTTGACAAAGCTCTGGGTGACATGATGGTTCAGTGGCTAGCACTGCGGCCTCATAGTGCCAGGGTCCCAGGTTTGATCCCAGCCTTGGAGGACTGGCGCATTGGAAGCTGATGTGTGACCTTATAGAGGTTTACAATATCATTACAGGCATAGATAAGGTGAATAGTCAATGTCTTTCCCCCCTAGCATACAGGAGTCCAAAACTAGAGGGCATAGGTTTCAGGCGAGAGGGGAAAGATTTAAGAGAAACCCAAGGGGCAACTTTTTCACACAGAGGGTGGTGCATGTTTGGAATGAGCTGCCAGAGGAAGTGGTGGGGACGAGTATACTTACAACGTTTAAAAGACGTTTGTGCAGGTTCATGATAGGGAGGGTGTAGCAAGACACGGGCCAAATAGAGGCAATAGGACTAGGTCAGTTTAGAAAACCTAGTTAGAATGGATGAGTTGGGCCGAAGTATCTGTCTCCGTGCTGTATGACTCTATGAATTGATGCACCTTCTGAAAGTCACTGCCAAACAGTTGGGTCCTTGGCCCCTTTGAGAATCTTGAAGGATGGCCTTGGAAGACATGGCTGTGAGCAGGTCTTGTTACCCAACCATAAGGCAGAATCCAAACGGGCTCCACATGCCAATAGACACTTTCTAACCTGCCCACTCCGCACAATTTTGAACCTTGGCCGTTGTTGAGTCTGACAGCAACTTGGAGCAAACACATTGTGCAAACAAACTTGACTGCGCTGCCAAACTGGAGCAAGACCAGCCACAAGCAACTGACTCGATGATTAACTCCTCGATGGCCAAGCGCTCTTCTCCGCATCCTCGTTATTTCCCCCTCCCCCCGCCCCGAATCTGCCTCCAATATCTATAACAATTTCTCAAAGTTTCTGAATAGCACAGAAAGTGAAGTCCCACTTCCCCATCTTTCTCTCCTTCCCTGCTCACTAGTGCCGGTGTGCAGGCCCCCGTTCCAAAGCTGACCAAGTGGTCATCTTCTACTCTGTGCATGGACAATGGCGAACCTGGGCATCGTTTTCTTGGATGATCCCATTCTCACCCATCAACGACACAATTGGTTGAGGGATTAATGTTGGCCAGGGTGGCACAGTGGTTAGCACTGTTGCTGCTTGGCACCAGGGACTGGTTTTCATTCCAGGCTTGGGTGACTGTGAGGAGTTTGTGTGTTCTCCCTGGGTCTCTGTGGCTTTCCTCTGGGTGCTCCAGTTTCTTTCCACAGTCTAAAAATATGCAGGTTAGGTTGATTGGCCATGGTGAATGTGGGGTTGCAGAGATAGTGCAGGGGGGTGCTGGGTCTGGGTGGGACACTCTTTGGAGTGTCAGTACAGAACTTAATGGGCTGCATGGCCTTTTACCACACTGTAGGGATCCTAGATTCCAGGATCCTGTGGAGAACTGCCCTGCATTTCTTCGAACAGCGTCATGAGCTTCTTTGACATCCAGCCAAGAAGGAAGACCTCATGTGTTTCTGACTTCACTGCTGGCACCAGTCCTCAGGCTGTAAACAAGATGAACTCACACCTCTAGGGCCTGGAGCTTGCTCAGCAAAAGCATTTCATTGGAGAATGGGAATGGACGATCAGCTCTCTGAAGAAGCAAGTAGTCAGAATCTCAGCATTACTTTCGCAATGGGTACCCAGAGGGGAATAACACTGAAGCAATAAACATTGCCCAATGTGCCAAAATCTCTAACAGGGCAACTGGGAGTTCTGTCATATATGACTTGCAAAGGTAAACAGTCACCTTTCTGAAAAGGTTCACCACATGATACCTGGGATGGCAGGCTTGTGGTATGAGATTGTGTTGACTCGCCCTGTACTCATTAGGGTTTCGAAGAGGGGGTCTCATAGTCCTGACTTGGAAATATATTGCCATTTTTTCCACTGTCATTGAGTCACATTCTTGGAAATCCCTCCCAAACTGCATTGTGGGGCTATCTACAACACATGGACTGCAGCTGTTCAAGAAAGTGGTTCATCATCACCTTGTCCAAAGAAACTGGGGATGAGCAACACAACCCTGGCCCAGCCAATGATGCCCATGCCCTGTAAAAATAAAATTGGAAGTTCGCCAAGTATCTGTTGGAGCCTGCAATCCAGGAAGATTAAAGCAGAGCACCACAGATGCACCATGGAAAGCATCCTATCTCGGTGCATCATAGCCTGGTTTGGCAACTGCTTTTCCCAAGACCACAAGAAACTACAGAGAGTTGTGAACACAGCCCAGTCCATCAGGCAAACCTGCCTTCCATCCACTGACTCCATCTATACTTCCTGCTGCCTCGGGAAAGCAACTAACATAATCAAAGACCCCTCCCATCCCGGTTATACTCTCTTCCACTCTCTTCCATCAGGCAGGAGATACAAAACATTGAATGCACTTATGAGTAGATTTAAGAACAGCTTTTTCCCAGCTGTTATCAGCCTTTTGAATGGGCTGCTCAAATGTTATTGTTGATCTCTCTTCCTGATTCTGTACCTTCCCCACAGCTGTAACGCTGTATTCCACACTCTGTTCTGCTACCCTGATGCGCTTTGTATGGTACAATCTGCCTGTGTAGCACACAAAACAACACTTTTCACTGTATCTTGGTGCATGGGACAACAATAAATCAATCAGTGAAGCGTCTATAGTTAAGATTACAGTGTGCGAAAGACAGAAGGAGAGACAGGGAGAGGAGAGTGGGCTGGATTCACAGCACACATCCAGTTCTTGAGGGATGGAACTTCAGAAGAGAACAGTAGCAATGGACGGAAGCAATGAAAACGTGAACCTATCAGAAACCAGACTTGAGGATGTGAGTGAGCATTTCAAGTAAACTGGGGCTTGACAGAAAGCCGAGGCCAGCAGAAATCTGGTGCAGAAAATCTCAGGGAGTCCTGCAAACTCAAAAAAGTCTAGATAGATATAAGAGAAAGACAATGTGAATCAAAAAAAATGATAGCAGCGGCAGGAGGTGGAAGAGAAAGAGAGAAGGAGGAATAGAAACAGGACAGAAAACAAACATGAGAAAGAATTTTTAAAAAGTGAGATAAAAGAAAGAGGGAGAAAGAAAGGAAGAGGAAGACAGAATGAAATAAAAGGAGATAAAAGAGAAAGAAACGAAGAGAAAGACAGAAGGCAATAAGGAGATAAAAGAGAGAAAGGAAGATAAAAGGAAATAAAGGAGAGAAAGAAAAGATGAGAAAGACAGAATTAAATAAGAGATGATAAAAGAGAGAGAGAAAGGAAGAGAAAGATAAAGAACAGTAGAGAGAATGGAAGGGGGGTGATAATGAAGAGAACAGGGAACAGAAAATGAAAACGAGGAGAAGACCGAGACTGGACGAATTCCGAATGAAAACTGAATGTCAGGATGTAGAAAGAGCAGGAATGGTTACTTCTGGTTTAAAAAAAAACACAGCAGCCTCATTGATCAGATCTATGAAATGTGTAGCAGACAGCTAAACTCTAAAAACAGCGACAGAGCAAAGAAAATAAAGCAAATTATTATTGGGGGGGGGGGGGACAAGTGTAAAAGTTGGAATAAATCGATTGCATATCGATATCTACATCAGCAACCGAGTTTACCTCCAGAATGAAAAGGAAATCAAACTGCTCCACCAATGCGAGTACAAAAGCACGAACTACCTTCAGACAAACCACTCACAACAAAAGCTGATATAATATTCTGTTACTTCAAAATATGAAGCACTCGCAAGTTGCAACAAATTTAAAACAGCATTTTCCCAACCGGGGCAGAGATGTGCTGAGTATGCACGTCTCTTTCTAAAATAAAGCCGACTGGAAATGAAGGGATTAAAAACTTACAAAGTGCTGAGACTGGACTGGAGTCCTGCTGAGAGAAGAAGCGAGGGACCTGTGTTTGACAGAGCCTCAAAAAATGCCCACACTCGGGAGATACTCCCAGTTTCTGCTAATTCCACCTCTGCCTTTTCGCTTTTATTACCACCACGTGTTTAGTTTTTCACCCTCTCTCTCGTCCCTTTCGCTGTCTGATTTTTCCCTCCCACCCTACTCCTCTCCCTTTTTCAAACAGAAAGGACCTTTTTTGAGTGCTGGGACAGGCAATAACAGTGTGTGGGGGGGAGAGAGAGAGAGTGTACGTATTCCTTTGCGTGGGGCAGTGAAAGGATTGGACTGAGAGGTGAGAGCAGGGATCTGTGAAGTGTTCTCTAACCCCAAAACAAATCAATATCCTGCAGATTTAACGTCGGGATCACTGCTGGGATGTGAGCTGCAAAATCTAGTCCAACTGGGAGAGCAAAATCCCATTGCATTGTTAAAGGCGAGTGCATGAAAGCGTGGATACCAGAATTGAAGAGATTGTTCTGCCCGTCCAATTCCATGCTGGATCTCTGCACACCAGACCCAACCTTTCACCCACAAATTAACAATTGCGCTGAAGCAGGGTCACTAGATTCCAAATGTTCATTCTGGTTTCTCTCCACAGATACTGCCAGACCAGTTTTGCCAGCAATTTTTGTTTCTTTTTCAATTACTCTCTCTTCAACTAATTATCCAATTTCCCCCTTTGTAGGCTGTGGTTGAATTCTCCTCCTCTCCACTCTCAGGCAGGACATCCCAAATCCTAACCACTCACTGCTGTAAGAGGTGGATCCTCATCATCTTCGCTCAATCACCATATGTTGGTGCAGTCTGCTTCCCAACCCCTTTTAGCTAAGAGACCAATTTCTCTCTAGCTATTCTGCCTGGACCCTCTTCACCATTTTGAACAGCTTTATGAAGTTTCTTCTCTTCCCAGAGGAGATCAGCCCTGCTTTGTACGATCGAATCCAAGGAAGCGCAGCCCCTTCGCCTGGCACCATTCTCTCAATCTACTCTTCCAGGGCAATGCCTTGACCAATTGGGGTGAACTTGCCTAGTTTCAAATTTACACTAAGTCTGGGCATTAACTGTCAATCATAATTTAACTGGTGGATCCTCCAGGGCAACATCTCAGCCAATCAAATTCTACTAGCTAACCAGTCTGCAATCTCCTATACACTAAACATGTTGATCTTCTCCTTATCTTGGAATTCTTGCAAATGGTCTTGATGTGTGCAAAACAAAAAGTTTCAACAAAATGAGTCTTTCTTCAACTCAAAACCCTGTCTGAAGCCTCACACTTTCTTAAAGTGTGGTGCTCAGAATTTGTCACAGTACTCCAGTATATTGTGATGGCTGTTTGAATGGTGTTTCAGTGTTTGAAAACACAGGGGAATTGTTTGGATCTGTTCTGCTCTTAACTGTACAGAGGAGACAAGGTCTTGCATTTCTATAGTGCCTTAACCACCTCAACAGCACTTCCCAACCAATGAAGTGCTTTTGATGTGCAAATCTGCACATGGCAAGCTCCCACCAACAGCAAGGTGGGAGGAAGGGTTCTGAGGAAGGGTCACCGGACCTGAAACGTTAGCTCTGTTTTCTCCTCCACAGATGCTGCCAGACCTGCTGAGCTTTTCCAGCAACTTTGTTTTTGTTCCTGATTTACAGCATCCGCAGTTCTTTTGGTTTTTATTTAGTAAGGTGCCAATGCCCAGTTAATCTGTTTTGGTGACATACTGGTGTGAAATATTTTTTAACAAACAGGACAGTGGGACAAACCCATCCTTAAGCCACTCACATATATGACTCATGTCGTGAGACACAGTTCATGGCTTTGACCTTCTCTTCCAGCCTAGCCCTACCAGTCCCTGAGTACTCTGTAAGCCTGGCCTCTTGTTGAAAGGCTATCTCCTTTGCTGTACTTTTATCACCCTTGCTTTCAGCTATGTGCACCCTCCCTAAATGTTTGTGACTCCTGTATCTCCGCTTCCTCCTCTGAGCCACTCCTTAAAACTTAAATCTTTGATCAAATTTAAAGGTGCTGTGTAAATGCAAGTTATAATTGTTGTTGCCCACCTTCCTGCATACTCCTCCTCCCAACCACCTTCCTGCAAAAATGCTATCCCCTATTCCCAATTCCTTCGCCTCCGCCGCATCTGCTCCCAGAATGAGGCATTCCACTCCCGTACATCTCAGTTGTCTTCGTTTTTCAAGGACCGTAACTTCCCCCCCTCAGTGGTCGAGAACGCCCTCAACCGTGTCTCCCACATCTCCCGCAACTCATCCCTCACACCCCGTCCACGCAATAAGAACTAAAAAAGAATCCCCCTCATCCTCACGTACCACCCCACCAACCTCCGGATCCAACGCATCATCCTCCGACACTTCCGCCATCTGCAATCCGACCCCACCACCAAAGACATTTTTCCCTCCCCACCCTTATCTGCTTTCCGGAGGGACCACTCTCTCCGTGACTCCCTTGTCCGCTCCACACTCCCCTCCAGCCCCGCCACACCTGGCACTTTTCCCTGCAACCGCAGGAAGTGCTACACCTGCCCCCATACCTCCTCCCTCACCCCCATCCCAGGCCCCAAGAAGACTTTTCACATCAAGCAGATGTTCACCTGCACATCTGCCAATGTGGTATATTGCATCCGCTGTACCCGGTGTGGCTTCCTCTACATCGGGGAAACCAAGCGGAGGCTTGGGGACCGCTTTGCAGAACACCTACGCTCGGTTCGCAATAAACAACTGCACCTCCCAGTCGTGAACCATTTCAACTCCCCCTCCCATTCTTCAGACGACATGTCCATCCTGGGCCTCCTGCAGTGCCACAACGATGCCACCCGAAGGTTGCAGGAACAGCATCTCATATTCCACTTGGGAACCCTGCAGCCTAATGGTATCAATGTGGACTTCACAAGCTTCAAAATCTCCCCTCCCCCTACCGCATCCCAAAACCAGTCCAGCTCGTCCCTGCCTCCCTAACCTGTTCTTCCTCCCACCTATCCCCTCCTCCCACCTCAAGCCGCACCCCCATCTCCTACCGACTAACCTCATCCCGCCCCCTTGACCTGTCCGTCCTCCCTGGACTGACCTATCCCCTCCCTAACTCCCCACCTACACTCACCTTTACTGTCTCCATCCCTGCCTCTTCAACCTGTCTGTTTCCTCTCCACCTATCTTCTCCTCTATCCATCTTCTGTCCGCCTCCCACTCTCTCCCTATTTATTTCAGAACCCCCTTCCCCTCCCCCTTTTCTGATGAAGGGTCTAGGCCCGAAATGTCAGCCTCTCTGCTCCTATGATGCTGCTTGGCCTGCTGTGTTCATCCAGCCCTGCACCTTGTTGTCTCGGATTCTCCAGCATCTGCAATTCCTACTATCTCTTATAATTGTTGTTGTTCTTCTTCTTACTGTCTGTTAGAAAATAGCCTTTTCCACAGCAGATGTAGACTCCAGTGCGTGATATTAACCAAAATCACTGATTGGGAAAGTGGCAGGATGGGATTCAGTGTTGGTTTTAGAGACTCCTATTCCATTGGAGAGCAAATTGGGCAGGAATAGAAGTGGTGTCTCCCTCAATCCCAGGGGTTTCCCACCCTGTCTGCTGAAGGACCCATCCACTTAATTCCATTCTCCACTTTTTTCCATATCCATTTCACTGTCTTTCTTTCCAAATATATATCCACTTCCCCTTTAAAATATACCACAGTTTCCACCGTTCCTGCTGCTTCTGTGACCACTCCTCTCCCCACCACCCTACATCCTAACAATCCTCTGGTGAGTGAACAAATCCTTCGTCACTCCCATCTTTCTTATCAGGATGAGATTAAATTCATCTCTGCTGGTTCATCACACCCCCGCTGCTGGAAATGATGACTAAGAACTTTCTCTCCCATCTCCTGTCTTGAAGCTGTCTTGTTTCTGCAGACATTTGCGCTGTTATCTGCAAGTATTTCTATCCCAGAGGCATGTTTGTGTCTAGATGCTGTAGCTGGACATTTGCCTGTGAGAGATGTCACATCCAATCCTGATCTCACCCACTGTAGATACAGTCAGACTTTCCGATCGAGGTAATCCCTTAACCAATGATGTGACAGAGCTTCTTTAATTATTAAAACAAGTGAGAGTGATCCTTTAAGCTCAACCAATCCATACATTCCTCTGGAATTAGTTTTCTCAACATTATTTCATTCCAAAAATACCTTCAGTTGACTGTGTTCTTGGATCCATTCAGATTTATATCTTCAGTGGTCCTCCCATAAGAATAAGCAGGAATAGGCCAGTCAGTTATGGGGCACGCATTTAAGGTGAGTGGGTGGGGGGTTCAAAGGAGATGTGAGGGGCAGGTTTTTTACACAGAGAGTGGTAGGAGTCTGGAATGCACTACCAGGGGTTGGTGGTGGAGGCAGTTATGATAGGGGCGCTTAAGGGGCTTTTAGATTGGCACATGAATATGCAAGGAATGGAGGGATATGGACCAAGGGCAGGCAGAAGGGATTAGTTTAATTTGGTGTCATGTTCGACCCGACATTGTGGGCCGAAGGGCCTGTTCCTGTGCCGCACTGTTCTGTGTTCTAGTCCATCGAACCTGCCATTGGTCATAACTGGTCTTCCACCTCAAGGAGGTAGGATTCTGGGAAGCACCGAGGATCAGAGGACCTTGGTGTGCTTGTCCACTGGTCCCTTAAGGTAACAGGACAGGTAGACAAAGTGCTTCAGAAAACTTATGGGATATTCCCTCCATTAGCTTAGGCACAGAGTTTAGGGAGGTATTGGTGGAACTGTATAAAATGTTGGTTAGGCCATAGCTGCAGTTCTGGAACCCACATTATAGGAGGGATGTGATTGTACTGGAGAGGGTGCAGAGGAGATTTACCAGGATGTTGCCTGGGGAGGGGGAATTTCAGTTATAAAGAGAGATCGGACTGGGGTTGTTTTCCTTGGAGCAGAGGAGACTGAGAGGGGACATGATTGAAATGGCCCTTTTGAAGTGTTAGGAAGGGGAGTTCGAACCCCTCTGATAATTAAAATTGAAACACAAGCCCCCGATCTGTTACAGTGGAAGTAGAGATCCCCTTCTAATAATTAAATACCCAGAGAAGCTCGCCTCACCTCACCTAATCTGTTAAACTGTTATGGAGAAGGGGAAGTTA